GCCCGAGCCCCTCCCCTGTCAGAGGGGGAGCCAGCAGCCCGAGCCCCAGGGAGAGTGGGGCCGGGCAGTTTGATCCAGCAGCCCGGACCCTCCTCTGTCAGCCAGGGAGCCGGCAGCCCGAGCCTTGGGGAGAGCGGGCAGTTTGAGTCGGCAGCCCCAGCCCTCCTCTGTCAGCGGGGGAGCCGGCAGCCTAAGCCCCAGGGAGAGCGGGGCCGGGCAGTAGGGGCTGGCAGCCCGAGCCCCGCCCCCGTCAGCGGGCGAGCCGGCAGCCAGAACCCCAGCTCGAGCCCCAGGAATTTGCCAAATCTCATCTAAAGCCAGAACCACAGCCCTCCTTGTTACCACCAGCCACAACCTCACCCGAAACTAGAGGTGGGTGAAAAATACCAAGCATTTTTCACAGAAAGTTTTGAATTTTTTTCACATTTTTCAAAATTCCCCAAGAAGAATTTACAAAAAACTGAAACGGAAAAATGGTCCATTTTCAAAAACTGTTTTCATGAAACATTTTTCTGATTTTTGAAAACCAAAAATGAATTTATTTTTATTTGAAACCATTTTTTTTAAACAAAAGCCAAAAAAACATTTTACAGAAACATCTTTGGTTTCTGGTTTTTCTATGTTCGTTAAAAAAAGTTTCAATTAAAAATATTTTTCAGAGGTTCATAGATTCCGGGGCCCGGCAATTGGGGCATCCATCACACTGAGGAAATTTAAACTTAAATCCCTGAAAATATTCATTTTAGGAGGAGGTTCACGAGATTTCACAATTTAGTGAAAGGGGTTCGCGGGCTGTTAAAGTTTGGGAACCACTGGTCTAGATAGACCATTAGTCTGACTCCGTGTGGCTGTTCTTATGTTCTAAGAGTGGCTGTAAGTGTCACTGTGGATTTCTCATCATTTGTATCAAACATATTTAGTAACATATTCCTACTTAAATTTTTTTTTAAACTGCTAATCCTACAAATACAGCCTCGGCTCTGGGCTTTGCTTTTTCCACCTCTCACATCAGCACTAGTAATAAAAGTTCTTCAGAATAAGTAATATGCTTAGCTAAACCTGAGCAAGAAGTTCACTGTCCTCAGATAATGTGTTTAGGAGAATGTGTACAATCATATATTGCCTTCATTAGGTTTGCACAGAAAGAACTGACTGAAGTTTAGTAAACAATTCTCTTGATCAGGCACAAAATGGAACTGTATCTTTAGCTTGATTTCCTAATTGTGTCCGTGCCAAAGTGTTAACATGAGTGAAAATTATTAGTAAAAATTGCACTTTGACATTAAATGAATTGATGACCCTGAATGACATTAAATGAGCAGATGGTGCATAAGTAAGTTCTTCGATATGGTTCCTTTTCAAAGTAATCCATGATATAAGGTTGCATACTTGAACATTAAAGGAAATACATATTACTGTTTCTGTAGCAACAGTTAATTGACCACTTCATATGCATGTAGTATGTTCTATTTGTGTATTCTTGATCTTTCAGATAATTGGTCTTTGTTCTGAGAGTTTGATACCATAAGGTGTAGTAATAAACTTCTTCAGCCAATAATGTTAAAACAATGTTATGAGCATATCAAAGTATTGTATAATCTTAATCCATAGCTTTTCATCACCAGAAATTAAGAGACTCATCCAACAATATTGTGCACTCTCTAACTTGGTCACAAATACATAGCTGCTTTTGTTAGTCTTTATCAGTGTGTACTTGAAATTAAATTGAAACAAGTCTTAAATAATAGTCCTGCATGCATAACTGATAATTGATTACAGAACTGTTACATTCCCCATTCAGTTCATTCATATGTAGCACTGGTATAATGTCCATGAATAACACAGGAACAATTTTTGAATGCCCATTCTGCTTTTCTCTACTTCAATGCATAATGTTAATGTATATACCTATGTGAAGTTAAAAACAGCAAATACACAATGTAGATAGAAAATGTGTGCTGATAACTAATGTAAAACTGGCACTGTTGCTTTTTCCCCCCCAAGGTTTAATGCATGTTCACAATAAACTTGTGGACCCGCTGTACAGTATGAAAGAAGAAAACTGAAGGAGGAATTGAGGAACTCCATGTGGGTAAACAGCAACACTTTTAGGTAGCAGACAAAGTTACTGCTATGCAATATGCTGAAACTGGTTAAAATGGGAAATCTTAAGTACTGTATTTTTTAAAAAATCCAGTATCTATACATTTACATTCCATCTCTATACATTGTTGTATTGTGCATTTTGTTTTAATATTTTGTAGATGTGACTTCATTGGCTGCCACAGTAAGTAAACAAGAACAGAGCAAATGTAAATGGCAGTTACATACTATGAGAAATAACAAACAAGTGTATTCTTAGCACAGCAATGTACTGTTTGACTGTGTATGAGAAAATTATACTTTAGCTTAAGCAAAATTCCGTGGCTCCACCAGTGCAAAATACACTTCTCATTTTTTTTGTCTCTCAATATAGGCAAAATGCTTTGGGGCTTTCACATGTCAAACATGGATTTGAACAGATGCACAACTTTGGTTATGAAATGCTCTGTTTATATCTAATACACATTGAACTTTTGCACTTTGGCTGCCTTAAATTAATCTTATGCCAATAGCTTCTGGGCGTTTAAGTCCTACTGTACAATACTCAGGCAAATAAAAGTATGAAAACTGCCTAAAAATGTAGAGGACCCTTTCAAACAGTAACTAACTTATTCTTCAATTATGTGCATATTATACTTCCGCCATAGCACTTTTGTTACATGTTTCAAGTTTATTTAGGAATTTTATATTTTGGTAATTATGAACTCTATAGATACTGAATACATTCAATATGTTCCTTTTTGGAGATGAATAGCCTAGTTACATTAATGATGTTGTGATCCAGTAATTGTAAAGGGGGTTAATTGCAGTAAGAATGGCTAAAAATCCAAATGGCTAGTATTGAAACAAGTCTGACTGTAAACAGAACCACTTTACAGTACAATAATTACTTTGCATTGGAGATTGCTATAAACGAACTGTTACTAAGAATGCCACTCTTTTCTACTGTTACTCCAAGTAAAGCTTAAATTCACAAAAACCTTACCATGTTTGTTTTGTTTTTGATGTGAACTGTGGTCTGAGAATAAACATTTCAGGTTTCAAAAACAGGTTTAGTGACAGGGTAGTAGTGTGCCTTTCTCTAGGTATGGACAAAGCTAACTTATTGTGCCAGACCAGCTCCTTTATACCAGCAGTAAATTCCCTTTTAAAATATCCACTGAAAGCAATGGGCTGGATATGATGGTATGTTCCTCTTCATCTATTGTAATATTTAAATAGAAGTCTTAGCTTTCAAAATAGTAATTTTCTACAGTGGAAAAACTGAACTCCATTCCTTAACCATAAATGTGGATTTATAGTTGAATAGGCTCTGAGCAGTAAGCTGCTTTTTTCTGCCTTTCTCCTTTAAAATACATACTTGAGTAAAATTTTGCTATTAAAGTATCAAAAACACAAATCAAGTCTACCAGCCTCTTGTTAACTACATTTATATAGAAAATAAATGCAAAAATAACCTCCCTTTTCCTGGACTGGCTGAAGAATCCTACTTTAACATTTCCAGAAAGACTTAAGTGTGAGCCACCCTACACTGACCTGTGTGTGTGAGAGAGCTGAGGATTTTACATGCTTCAGATTGTTTTTTTGCTATTGCAGCATTCATCTGCTACAAGGGTTCTCAAATGTGGGGGTCATGACTCCTTAAGGGGCTCACCAGGTTATTACATGGGGGGAGGAGGGTGTCAAGAGCTGTCAGTCTCCATCCCCAAACTCTGTTTCACCTCCATTTATAATAGTGTTAAATATAAAGTGTTTTTAATTTATTGGGGGGTGGGGGCGAGAGAATCACCAATACAAAAGTTTGAGAACCACTGATCTACTAAACCTGGCTAAACAGCTGCTGGTTTATGCATACAGTTTTTCTAAAATAGCAGCCAGTGAAGACAAGTTGTATAAGGTTGTGAAAAGGATTAATTTCAATCCTCCAGCTGAGAATACTTTCTCACAGTAATAGTAACATGATTGTTTTATAGCTATAATTAAACATTGACACTATACCTCCTTTGGTATTGTTTGGATTAAAGCAGGTGGTCATGTGGAACCTCCTAATCTGTTCACTTTAAAACACTGCATGAAGCAAGTTTTCTAATTGAATGAGTTTGCCTAGAATCTTTTCAAAGGACACTTGTCCTTCAATTTGTCTGGACTGCATCAAGTTTAGCTGGAGCCTAATACATCTGACGAAGTGGGTATTCACCTACAAAAGCTTATGCTCCAATACATCTGTTAGTCTTTAAGGAGCCACAGGACTCTTTCTTGCTTTTTACAGATCCAGACTAACACGGCTACCCCTCTGATACTAGTACAGAGTAGCTAGCTTCTCACCTGTAAAAAAAAACAAAAACAAACCTCTTTGCTCAAGTGATGTGCTATAACACTTCTACAAAGCAAGTCTGTCCCCTTCAACAAGCTGGAATTAAGGAATTCATTCCTATAACCAAGACAGTTTTCTAAACTCTGTTTTAGAAGTTGTTCCTAACCTTATGTTACTAAGATGAGGCATGTCATACCATTTGCTGAATGTGAGTGAGCTCCCTCTACAGACTGGACTAGAAACAAACTAAAGACTAATTATGCAACAACTCCCTGCCCCACATACATTTTTTGAAACGGACATCAGCTACTTCAGAAGCATCTCATACTTGTCTTTCACATTCTTGCCATAAATTAGGTGTATGTCTTCACCCTGACCTAGACAAGGGGTATGCCCTGTGAGCTACCACTTACTTGTATCCATGAAGTAGGTGATAGGAAAGGGAGTTAAATGGGATCAGTAATGCCCAGAACCTAGTCTTCTGCAGTGCTGTTTTCAGAAGCCTTGAGGTCTCCTAATATTGGGCCAACTGTCTGTTTCAGAGAGAGGAGCTGTGTTGGGGTATATGATTTCTCTCCTACTTGTCAGTTCCTAAATAACTGTATTTTACACTTGCGGATGGAGTAACAGTCTAGCTTCTGTTTCACTAATATGGAGCTGGTGTGCCCTTTTCCTTGTACTTACATAATCAATTATATTGCCCTGAACTTCAAAGAATGTACTTCCAGGAATTTGAGATCCAACGTGCACCATCTATTATTTCTTGTGTGGAGAGTTAGAAAAGTAAGTTGGGGGTTGGCCACGCCTGCAGTGCCTTGAAGCACGCTCCTCCTGGGATTGGATTTTGTCACCCACAATCATTCTAGTTGAATTTAATTGTACACATTACAAAATAGTGTATGGTAATACAATCTGAAATGTAGACTTCAAGTACATTCTTCCAATTAAAATTCATTCTTCATAGCTGTAGCCAGCTGTACAAAATTAAATATGACAAGTCACACAAACATACCCCCAGCAAGAAGTTATACATTAACCTCATCCTGCCATTTGCCCAGCAAAAGTTAGATAGAAGCATCAGAGTTGCAGAGAGTTTTGGTCTCCAATTACTTTTCAGATTGTCTCTTTAGAACACTTATAAAGGCATCTTTGGGCACTTCCACGTTGCCAATTTTCCTCATCTTTTTCTTTCCTTCTGCTTGCCTCTTCAAAAGCTTCATTTTCCGTGTAATATCTCCACCATACTATTAAAAAGGAAAGATGTGTTAACTTGGTATATTGTATAGCTAGTACAGTGTAAAAAACATTAAGAGCTATGCTATACAGTACAGTAACTCCTCACTTAAAGTCATCCCGTCGTTTCGATGTTAAATTGCTGATCAATTAGGGAACATGCTCGTTTAAAGTTGTGAAATGCTCCCTTCTAACGTCCTTTGGCAGACACCTGTTTTGTCCACTGCTTGCAGAAAAAGCAACCTTTTGCAGCTAGCTGGTGGGTGGTTGGAACCAGGGTGGACCAGCAGCCCTCCCTATCATCTCCCCATGCAGCAGCTGCCTGGAGTTCAGCTGTGTCCCTCCCCCCACTGCCATGTGCTGCTCCTGCCCTCTGCCTTGGAGCTGCTCCCAGAGACTCCTGCTTGCTGTTTGGGGGGAGGGGGGAAGAGGAGGGCTAGTGTCAGGGTATCCCTCCCAGGGCCGGCTCCAGGCACCCAAGCTGGTGCTTGGGGCGGCACCTGGAGGGGGGCGGCGGCGCGGCGCTCCGGCCACCGGGGAGCGCGGGGCCACAGCAGGGCTCGCCGCCCTGCGCTCTGGCCGCCAGAGGGGGAGAGCCGAGCCCCAGCCGGGGCTCGCCGCCCTCCCCCTAGGCCTCCGGCCGCCCTCGGCGCTCTGGCCGCCAGAGCGGGGGAGAGCCGAGCCCCAGCCAGGGCTCGCTGCCCTGCCCCCGGCGCTCCGGCCGCCGGGGGGGAGAGCCGAGTCCCCCCCCGG